AACAATCCAGGGACAGTGTGATCTGAGCAGCAGATGCTTGGCCCACAGGTCAGGAGATCTGAGAGCAAGTCTAGGCTGGTCATGGGCTGCTAAGGATTTTAAGCTCTTTTCCTCACCTGGAAGCTTCTGAACCACACCTGTGTAGCTGGTGCGGGCAGCAGTGCTGACCAGGTCTGAGCATCATGGGGCTTGCTGACTTCTCCTCAGTCTGATCGGTGACATCCAACCCCCACTCGGATGCATTTGCAGATGGGGTTTGTCATGCTACCGCACCAAGACAGAGCCCCTCTGACCTCCTCTCCCAAAGACATGGAAGATTAACCACTCTCAACCTGCTATCTTCTACCTTTTTCTGGGTTTCTTGAAGTGTTTCAGTGATTTTTATGATATACTGTTTAGCACAGGGGTCTCAAGTGACAGTCCTCCAACTCATGTCTGGCCCTGAGCTAAGAATGGTTTTTTAAATGGCTGGAAAAAATAAAAAGAATATTTCATGAAAAATTATATGAAATTGAGCCTTCAGTATCCATAAATAAAGATTTTTTGGAACATAGCCATATCCACTCCTTTATGCTGTTTACATTGTAATGTTGTCACACTGTAGCTGTTTTCGTATCACAGAACTGAGTAGTGGTGACACAGACCATATGACCCACAAAGCCTAAAATTTATACCGTTTGGCCCTTTACAGAAAAAGTTTTTTTTTAAATTTTATTTTATTAGTTTTTTTTTTTAATTGAACCCTGGTTTAGTGTAAAAGGCAGGCTATAGAATCAACACTATTTGCATAATCACCTCGTACACATAAATTGAGGAGAAAAATACACTAAAATGGGGATTATCTCTGGATGCTAAAATTACATGCAATTATTTGAATTTTTTCACCAAACGTGTTAAACATAAAGGTATGAAGAATATTAATCACATTAGGAAAATAAAATAGTAAGTGTTTATTCTATCTTACTGTGGGCCAGACCATTTTAGTTGTTGATGTGCTTCATTTCACCTGGTCCCCTGTCTGCCCCCATGCGTAGGGACCCCTGTATCTCTGTCATACGGATGAGGAAAGGAAGACTCAGGGAAGTTAAGCAACTTGCCCAAGGTCACACTGCTAGTTAGAAGTATATTGTGTGTTCACGGTGGAAACACACTTAAGAAACAAAAGGGAACAGGTTGAAACAAGTTTGTTTAGAAAGAGTGTTTTATTTGAATTCATAGGAGACCAATCCCAACAGATAATGAGGAACTTAGAGAGGCTTTGAGTATCCTCTCTAAGAGTCCACTCTGCTTCAACAATGAGGTATCCTGTTTGTGGAAGTACCTGAAAAATGGCAGAGCACTGTACTAATGAAGGCTGTGTATTTAGAAACTTGTCAAGTCACAACCTGTTGACTTCCTAAGATTTCCTATCCAATCTTTCTCAAATTAGAAACAACATAAAAGTCAAGAAGAGAGGACTGGTTGGCTAAACTATGGTGCTTCCATACAATGGAATACTATGCAACAATTAAAGAACCAGGCGATAATCATCTTGTTGCTGCTAGTGTGGGCACTGGAGTTCTGAGGCTGCTCTGTGGTAAGGCAGGAGAAAGTGCATGAGTAATGATGTGAAGTACTAGGACATCACCTCTGGCATCCTTGAGAACCAAGATTCTCAGCATAGACAAAGGAGGCACAAATATAAAAAGAAGAGGTTAAATAAAATCCCCAGTTCTTTTCAATTTGAATAGAAAGTATCAGTTTGAACTTCTGATGTATTTTTAATCACCACCAACAACCACTAATTTCCTAGCTCTGTCCACTGAAAAGGTCTAGAAAGGATGACCAGCCCAGGAACAATGAGCACCTCCAAGTGCCTGGATTATGGTCTCTAAGAACCATGTCCCACTAAGAGAAACCAGCGGTCCTTGGAGAAATGGCTGATTCCAGGTCTGGGGCAAGGCCTGGAACATCTTAGCTTCCTTGCTATTTGGATGACATCAAAGACTACCAGGATCATGTAAAAAGGAGCCACTGACAGAGATGGCACAATCCAAGTCTTAATAAAATAATAAACAAATGGACTAAAACACATCAAATATGTTTAGAACTATGAGTTTACAAAGATACTAAAAGCAAAACAGAAAACCCTAATCGGTCACCATTAGAAGATGATAGTAAACCACTCATTATTTTGAAAACTAAGAAATAAAGGGAAAGAAGCAAACACTTATCCTATCTTTCCTATATAAATTGTATTATTGGATGATCTAATAGGAGATATATTTGATTATTTGTATTTCAGCTAGTAAATGAAGTAATTAACTAATGGATCTAAGCAATAAACATCAATAATTGCTAAAGATCACAAAAAGAGAGAAAACTAGACCTTATGTGCCTTCTGACAAGAGAGCACAACATGACTTATGAAGCATTTTTGCCCACATACATCAAATGTAAATCCAATTAAATATCTAAATCAAACTACTAATTTGTAGGAAATACAGAGGGTAGAAGAACACGTTAAACAGCACCACAGGGTTGCAATAAAAAAAAAAAATCCAGGCTGTGGGAATCTCTACAGGACAAAGAATACAATTTCTTCATGAAATAAATTACAAGGGGGCAGGGAGGGCAGTAGAGGGATATAAAAGAAACCTATAGATTAAAAGGCATGTGAAAGACATGTCAATATACAGCAATGTGTGGGCCTGATTTGGATTCTGATTTTATTTTATTTATTTTTTTAAGATTTTATTTATTTGTCAGAGAGAGAGAGAGAGAGAGAGCAAGAGCACAAGCAGGGGGAGCAGCAGGCTTCCCGCTGAGCAGGGAGCCCGATTTGTGACTTGATCCCAGGACCCTGGAATCATGATCTGAGCCAAAGGCAGACGCTTAACTGACTGAGCCACACAGGTGCCCCTGGATTCTGATTTTAAATTAAAGATTAAAAAATGGCATTTATACCACCGCCATAAATTTGAACTTGTGTGACATTTGGTGATCTAAAGAGAATGTTGCTAATTTTTAAGGTGTGATAGTGGTGTTAGTAAAGCTACATACTAGGTATTCAGATGAAATGATGTAATGTCTCAGGTTTGCTTTAAAATAACCCAGTGGTAGCTGAAAAAGAAGGGGGGACACAGACGAAATGAGATCAGTCCTGTATTGATGATTGCTCAGGCTGGATGAGGGCCTGTAAAGGTTTGTTCTGCTTTTTCCACTTTGCCACATGTTTACATGTTTCCATAATAAAAGATTAAAATAAATCCTTCCTCACATCAGGCTCTGAGTGATAATAGTAGATGGAGTGCATCATGGTTCTGACCAGTATCCCTGGTCTTGTATTTTATGAATAATGGAGAGTTGACCTGTGTGTTTCAGATCATTCATCTGAGGGGCCTCTCTATCACCCAAGGAGATTCTCTATCACCCAAGGAGCTCCTCCATCACCCAAGGAGTTTCTCCATCACCCAAGGAGCTTCTCCATCACCCAAGGAGCTCCTCCATCACCCAAGGAGCTCCTCCAACACCCAAGGAGCTCCTCCATCACCCAAGGAGTTTCTCCATCACCCAAGGAGCTTCTCCATCACCCAAGGAGCTTCTCCATCACCCAAGGAGCTTCTCCATCACCCAAGGAGGTCCTCCATCACCCAAGGAGCTTCTACATCACCCAAGAAACTTTTCCATCACCCAAGAAGCTTCTCCATCACCCAAGGAGCTTCTCCATCACCCATGGAACTTCTCCATCACTTTCCTCACCAGGATACATCAATATGTACTTGGGAGCATATACATAGACACATACAAAAAAAGATTTCTCATGACTTAAATATTTTGCTCTGAAGCTGCAAAGGGTGTGAGGATGTTGAGCTTTCATAAAGCAATAAAACTGAACTCTATAGAACCAAATCTGCCTGACACCGGCATTCAGTGGTGCTCATGGCCAGAGGAAGGGAAAAACAGTTATGGTGTTGAGCTTGGGAGGCGTTTCCATTCTGAAGTTCTGAGCAAATAACCAGGCAAATCTGGATGACAAGGGACACTGGTTCTGTTCCCACGCTATTATTCGCATCAGTGCCACTGAGTTTCCTAAATTGGATAATAATGTCTGTAGGGAAGCAATATATGCAAAGTCTCTATTTGGGGACCCCACAGGTGAGAGACAGGAAGAGGGTTGAGGAGACAAGAGCAAACCCTTAAGCCCCATCACCAGGCGTAGGATGGGTGAGAGGGAATCACAGTTGGGGCCAGGAAGTGGACAGCTGACTGGATGCTTATCTTTAGAAATGGTACCTCCCAAACTTCAAGGTAAAGCTTGCTGTTTAGAGTGGCTTTTGTGGCTTCTGTTTCTGTTGCCAACCTCCCCAGCATCTGTGCCCAATTGTGCCATCCAGGCTTAGGAGTCCCTAAGTCCCCCTTAAACCTTGAACCTGGGAGCTCACCCCAGTTCTCCCATTTTCTTGTCTTTCTCCCCAGCTAGCCCGTAACCTCCCTGAGGGCAGGGGCTCTGTCTTTCTTGGTGGTATCTCATCACATAGCACAGGGCCTGGGATATAGAGGTGCTCCCTAAACAGTAACTGCAGAGTTGGAGATCACTATGGAAGCAGTGTAGGGTGGTGGTTACGAGTGTGGGCTTCATGGTGAGATGTGACTCACAGCCCTGCCTGCTCACTATACCCACTTTGCTGATGTGGTGTTATGGTTTCCGGACCCTACTACTGACTTATTACAGGACCTCAGGTTTTGTAAAAACACTTTGAGATTCTCCTGGAAAAGATAACACATATAACTAAATGTCTGTCTCTCTATAACAATGTAACTGATCTAGGAAGCTGGGCCTAGGAAGAATTTCACTATGCACCTACCTGGAATGGTTTCCCCTGATGGACGTACAAATAATAAAACCTGAAATTCTAGCTACACACAATGCCTTGGACCTATGTGAAAGGGTGGAGTGGTGGAGTGGACAAATGAACACCTTTTGAGTAGATAAGAACCACTCGAGTAGATAAGCAAACCTGGGCATCTTCGAATGTGTATCTCCCTCCATCTTTGACGTTTTGACTGGTTATCTCATAGCTGTGAGAGTCCAGGTTGATTGCACTTGGGGCGCCTGGAGCCAGAAACTCTTGCCAGATTTCTTCTACCCTCTTGGCCACATCCTGGAGGGGTTGTTTCTTGAGGTCTTGGACAGCCAACCAGAACCTGACGTGGAAGCATAAAGAAAGTCAGTTCCAGGGGGCTCTGGACTCTGCTGGATGTGGTCCCAGAACTGAAATCCCATGAAACTCATTCTGCTGCATCCCCCGGCCTTCCCTGCTGCCCCTTCCTAGGTAACAAAGACGGTAGGGACTGCTGGAAATCCATAGGGTGCTCCATCATTGTGGCGAACTGAAAGGAAGTGCCCATTAGAAAAATCATTGTGCTTCTGGTTACCAACCAGAGATTTCTTTCCCTTTACATCAAGGTTTTGCAACCTCAGCACTATTTCCATTTTGGGCTCAATAATTCTCTGTTGTGAGGGTTGCCCTGTGCATTGTAGGATGTTGAGCAGCAACCTTGGCCTCTACCCACCAGGTGCCAGTGGCGACCCCTCCCCAAGTTGTGACAACCAAAAATGTTTCCAGATATTACCAAATGTCCCCTAGGAGGTGAAATCTGCACCCCCCCCAGTTGAGAGCCAGTTCTCACCACAGGTGCCCTGATGTGGACAATGTGAATTCCTTTGGCATAACCGGTTGGGATCAGTTTGCAGCATCAAAATTAAGGAAATCACAGAGGCAGAGAGAATCTTGGGATCATAGAGAATATCTGAGCTGGGAGGACCCAGCTATTCATGTTGCAGATGGAAAGGCAGCCAGTTTGCAAGGTCGGTGTCCAGCATGATGCTTAGCATATAGTAGGTGCTCAATAAATGGCTGTTGGCTTGAAGATGGGCTCATGAGGAACCAAAGCTGAAGAGGCATACATGGGGAAGATCTATGCCAAAAGATTCTCCAGGGCGCACTGGAGAGCAAAACCTCTTGCTCACTTCCATATGTGCCTTTCATGAATTCCTCAGCATCAGCATGGCAGCGGCTGTTGGAAGAGCTGGGTGTGAGCTCTCTTCTGCTGAAAACTGAAGCAAATAGGGCTAAGCTTGGACAACAGCTCCCTGGTCATGAGGATGGTTTCCGAGGCCACCCCAGGGAGGGCTCAGGGCCCAGATCTGAGTAGCACACTTTGTGCCCTGTGAACAAGACAGGCCCGTGTCCCCATCAGTGAGACATGAGGACAAACCCCAGGCGATGTGGTTCCCATAGCCATAGTAGTCACACATACTCAAGTCAATGAAAGGGCAGGGACAAGAGAAGCTGGACCACGACGCGGTGGAAAGTGCATTCAATCTGTCTTCGAATTGCACTCAAAGTAAGACGTACTTGTTCCCCCCCCCCCCGCCTTTTTAAAGGTTGAGCATGTTTTTCTGTTGCTGTTCTTAGAATTGTCTTTGGAGCCAAGTGCATGGCCCAAAGGCGCCACTCAGTGGCCAACTGCGGTAATACAGCTCCATTTCTACAAGGAGAGATGTTTGTGTACAGGGGCTTCTGGACTCCAATTCTTCCCCTGCTTTGGCATTTGGGATTCTAATACTCTCTTTAAAGAAAATCCTCATGGTTCCCTTGTTGGTCCGGAAGAGCAAGAGGCCAGGAAGGAGATTTCATGACCTCACTTGACCAGAAGACCAGGAAACACAGTTCTGTCCTCATCTTGCCTATGCCACTGTTTTGGAATTACGCCTTTCTGGGCATCTCTTTCCTCATCTGTAAAATGGGTACAAAGTGGGTGGCAGGATATGTGACATGGGTCTGAAGAAGTTCCCATCCAGGTGTAACGGAAATGCTTTCAGGTCCCGTGGGTGGGAGTGGTGGAGGGGTCAAGGGGGCAGCCACAGGTTCAGTACCGGGCTTTCTCCTAGGGGGGATGGGCAGAAGCTGCCAGGGGCTCTTGCTCCTGCCATCTGTCATCACCTGCCCCTCAACACCAGCCTGCATTCTTGCTCCCGCAGGTCTGGTGCTCACGTCCTCTTGTTACTGGGGAGAGAACAGCAAGGGTTCTCAGAGCAAAGTGCAAAGGCGGGGGAGACTCTGAGCCTCAGCTGGGGAGTGGGGCTCTTCCACCTCCCAACCCCATGCCTCCAGGTCCTTAGGTCTCCTCATCCCGCCCTCGAGGTCTGCCGTGGAATGAAGGAGGTGGCCGGGACACAAAGATGAAAATGGTCACCTGGCGATGACAGCGCCTATAGGCTTTCTTTGTCAGGACAGCAGGGTTTGATGGGCAGGTGGGATTTAGGAAACCCAGTTCTAGAGAAGGAAGCTGGTGTGGGTTTTTCAAAGGACCAGTAAGAGTGCTAGTGGGCAACTCACCAAAGACTGAGTTGGTGAGTCTTTGGCAGCCACGTGCTGGGGCTGATGGGAGAAGGGCCCTCCCTCAGGGAGTTGCCTCTGGGCTGATTTCCCCGGCTGGAAGCAGCTTCTCCGGGCCAGCATCCTTCCCAAGCCTACCAGACCCTGCAGTTTCTCACACATATGGATGGTTCCTGGGCAATTTCCTGCTCCCTCAATCAATGTCATGTGGGGGTCACCTTCTGTCACTTTCTGTCCCGTGTTCCAGGCTGCTCTGAGGAGGAGCTCTCAAGCTCCGGGAGGGCCCTGGAAGCTCCCAGCAGCTTCGGAGCTCTGCAGGCTCCTAGGGTTCCCGAGGCCTCAGAGTCCCTTTGGCAGAATGATTTGGGAGCCACAGTCATGCACGTCACTCAGCTGGGTATAGAGAAGGTCTAAAGTGGATGTAAAGGGAGATTTCAGAATCAAATGTAACAAACTTTTACATAAAAATTAAAAAGGTTCCCTTTGTCACAAATCAAGACTTTTTAAAAATAAAAGTACAAGAAGAAACCACAGGCCTGTTAGAAGCCGAGGACATGACATTCCTTAGACAGCTGTCTTTCCTCCCTGCCCTCGCAGGGACCCTCTCAGCCTTCTGTCTGCCTGGGAGGTGACCTGCCTTATCCTTCTCAGGTGACAGCAAAAATGCTGTCACAACAGCATCCTGACATCCCATATGTGTTTACCATCACCGGCTTCGAAGAACCTTTGTGTCAATTTGAAATTCAGAACAGGCTCTGGTTGGCGTTTGCCATCTGTGAGTCCACAGGCCTGAGGCGGGAGCGCTGAGCTCCGAGGCCCCCCCAACCCCCTCCCCCCAGCCCTGGTGGCCCGGCCACACTCCCCTTGCCGGGGGCCCGTGCACCTCCCTGCCACATACCCAGGGCGGGGGCTGGCCCAGGGAGGCTGGGGCAGCTTCTGCCTTATGGAAAGCCCTGCAGGTACGGGCTCCTCCTGGAGGACGCCAGCGGGGAGGGGGGCGGGGCGGGGGGGGAGGTGTCTGCTGCAAATCCGCCCATCCTGCACTAAGCCTCCATGGCTTGCAGCAGAAGGGCTGTCGTGACTGGCAGGCCACAAGGACTTGCCGGTATCAGGGTGACCATCTGTGCTGCTTCGCTGGAGTCCTCAGAGCGTGGGGAGGCAGCCCGTGCGCCGGCATGTGATGCGTGGGGATGGCTCAGGAACGCAAGCTGGCACTGGCCTGGGCGGGGGGGCCGCGGGGGGCCTCTGACGTCCCAGGGCCCAGCAGCAGCCGTGTTGGGGGGCGCTCCGGGGGGGAGAGGAGGTAGTCCCGGTGGCCTCCTCTGTCCCCAGGACCGCGGTGCGGACGGGGAGTGGGATTTTCTCCTCGAGGCAGGCTGGACGCAGGAACACCGCGCAGCCGTGGTCCCTCTCCCCCTTGCCAGGGGTTCTGGGCAGCCCCGCAGTTCTTAGGTTAGGGTCCCTACTTTTTTCATAAACTAGGATTTTCATGGCTGAGAAAAATCTAGCTTTTAGTTCATTCCCAGAGAAAAAGCAAACTTGAAGCTGAAGGAAGGCTTTCTGTGCCCTCTGCTGGTCAGCAGAGACTCAGGAAGGACAGAGGCAACTTGACTGGGTCCCCGGTGGGGCAGAAATCGTCCGGGGCCCACGGTGGCCACGAGCACCGGCCCCGCGGCGGCCGCCGAGGTACGCTCCTTCCCGGGGCAGTGGCTGAAGTGCCATAGATTGTCACGGCGACGCGCGAGCCACCTCTGTTCCGATTAATCATGTGTTTGGTTAGTGGGGAGTCCCGCCGGGCCTTGTGAACCTTCCCAGGTCCTCCCAGCACCAGGGGCAATTCTCGGAGCCGAGAGCTCTCCAGGCAAACCTGGCAACTCCCCCGTGTTCTCTTTAATTGCTTCTCCCTTCAGCTGACACTGTGTGGAACCGGGATAATCAATCTGCAGGTTAGACGAACAACCACGTTCTCTCAGGAGACGTTACAGCTCATAAAAAATGTACGGGCAACGCTCTTTGCTGTGGGTTTTGAGTTTTAACTCGTGCCCTGCCGGGCAGCAGAGGCCATCGTGTGGGGAGGGACCAAGATGGACATAGGGGCGATGGGGAGGGGACAAATGTGGACGAGGGGCTCCTGTCACCATTCTGGGAAAACGCACAGGACGAAGTCACACAATGCACTTGACGCCCCTGCTTCTTGCCTTATGGATGACAGCCCGTGTGCCTTGTGCAGGCCCCCAGCAAACAGCTGTCTCAGGGGCCCTGTGCGTCTGAACGGGGTGCCACGGCTCGGAGTGCCACAGAGAGCACACGTTCTCACGCTGTGCCGGCTGCAGCAACATCCACTGGCCATGCCCGCTCTGGGCCCTGAAGCTGACGCCCCTCCCTCCATGACCTCACCGGGAAAGAGGACTTGAACTTAGGTCGTATTATCATAGACATCTTTCCTTAAAGGACCCAGGGTGACGCTTTGCTGTTGTGAGAGTGATTTCTGTGTCTCTTGGGGGCTCCTCTGGGCTGCTTCTCTGAAGCTCTGGTACAGGTTCAACCACTTGGCTACTTAACCGGGGCTGTGCAAAAAGGTTCCGATCTAAGTGCCCCTTTTGCTAGAGAGATGCGAGGGAGTATGGGAAGATGAAATGGAGATGCCCTTTGCAATGGATCCAGTTGAGTTCTGGGTGGTCTCTTTTTTCTTCCATCCCCTGATGCCAGTTGCCTGGGCTGTTGATTCGTCCTGGGGAGAAGAGATGATCCCTAGCGTGGCCAAGGCAACAGACGGGCAGGATCCCCGGGTTATGCCGCTTTTACAGCTCCAGGGGGCGCCATTCACGGGACGTGGTGGAGGCGCACCGGCAGGGCACCCATGGCTGCCCTGCTCAGCTGAGTCCTTGGGCCCTGGGTCGTGGGGGCTGCTAAGCCACTCTCTGTGGCTGGAGGAGTGAATGCAAAGGGGAGGAGAGGAACCACCTGGCTATGGATGACTGAAGAGTCCTAAGTAGTTGTGTGATTTCAAACCGAACTTTCCCCCCACATGTCCAATTACGCTGAGCATCATGAAAGTGGAACTTGGGCCTCCAGAGAGGATTTTATAAGCTCCTGGGCTGTACTTTTTATCTCCGGCTGTTCTATTTTCTTTATCCTCTCTTCTGTCATGGATCAGAGGCGGGTCCCTCTTTAAGTGTGGATTTATGCATTCCTGCTGGGGGTGTAGATGAGTCACTGGCACACTCACAGGTGCTCCCCCCACCCTTTCACCCAAGTGTAGCCCCCTGCCACAGGACCAAGGAGCTGGCCGAGGCACAGGAGGTAATGGCAGGATGAGGTGCTGAACCCCTGCCAGGGACACACTCCTCCCTGCCCTCTTGGCCTTAAAGGTAATGCGTTTTCGTTACACTAGTCTGAACCGATGTGTGGCTCTGGCTGCACTCAGACTGGGCACGGAGGTGCTGAGCCAGCAATGCTCCCGCTCAAAATGACCCTCAAAATGACCGGGGCCCCGTGGTGGTTTTTCAAAGTCACTGTAATGGTGCAGGTGGCAGAGCGTCATAAGGCCACGCATGGGCTGAGAAATAGTCAGGTAAAGGAGGCCTCTACATCACTTTATTTTGGGGGGGCCCGGAGGGGACAGAGATGAGAAGGAGAAATGGGAAAGACTCCCAGGGGTGGCTCACGGGGACCAAGCTCCGTGTGCGTCCTGGGGCTGAGCCTGCGCACAGAGAGGGGCTGCTTGAGCGCATCCTGCCGGCCACAGAGGGCGTGGCTTCCTGGTCACGACCCGCCTCGTCCACGCACAGCCCCGGAGGCTGGTCTGAACCGCAAGCCTTCTGTTACAGATGCTTAACTAGGAATAGAAGCAAAGCTGGGAGGTGTGTTCAGGACAATGGCTCCGCCTCAGGAAAGAACTCTTGTGTCCTGACCTGGCATCAGATATGCAGCCTTATCTGTTTTACAGTAAGCTCCTGGTTGCCTGGAAAGGCATCGATACACATTGTTAACTGGCATCTACACGTCTCCCTTGGGCTGTGTGATGTGGGAGAGCCCCACTGCCGCACCTTCGCTCATAGGGTCTTCTCGCTTAGAATACGCTCCCTCCTTCTCGTTTGTCAATCGGTATCCTGTGTATTCTTCAAAGCCCAGCTTGTGATTTGCCTGCTCTGGCTTACATTCATCCCTCCCTTTTAAAAACATTTCCAAAACAGTTCTTAGAGTTTATACTCATTTATATTCATGTAACGATTTAATAGTTTCTTGTGTTTTTTTTCCTCAAGGGCCTACAAGATCATGGTAGGCAAAGATCATGCATCTTGACTTGTTTGCCTCCCTCAGCAGACTCTTGCGGGGCTTGATACAGCATAGGTGTGTGATAAATAGTGCTTGATTGATGTATGGGACTGATATGGACTCTACTGTCAAATAAATTACATGGTCTTTGCACATTAACACCGGAGTGGACAGTCCTTTGCCCACAGTCTATGCTCTGACTTTTTAAAGTTAAAAAACCTTTAGAAAATGAATAAAACCACCCTTTCTGAAAAAAATACCACTGGAAGATGGAAATTAACCCAGCATGCAAAAAAAAAAAAAGAACCTGGTGCCAAAAAAAAAAATCCTGAGCTTTCCATCTGAGAAGTCACCGGTTTGCTCAGATCACTCAGGGGGCTCAGAACCATTAGGTCTCTGTGTCCATTCTAATACAACGGAACCCTGAATAAACCACAAGTTTCCCAACTTTTCATGACAGCGGACCCTCTCTCAATGGACCTCATGTTTTGAAAGTTTTGCTTTTTCCTTCTACTGAACAGTAATTATTAATACATCACTACCTTTCCCCTCATCTTGATTAGCTGGAGACCAACAGCGACGGCCATGTGTTCTCATTGGCAGCAGGTGACCAGAGCAACACAGGGTTGACAGAATCCCCCCAAAAGGAAAAGCATGTTTTAATTAGTTTTTACAGATATGTCTCCACGTATTGAAATATATATCCTTTGGCTTTTTGAAATTGTAAAATGAGCTCAGGGATCCCTCTTTTTCTCTGGTTAGCTTGTCAAGTATTCGGGACCCCTGACTGAGAAGTTTTGAAGGAGACAGTCTCTGAGCTGCCTTTCCACTCTGCAGCTCCATGGTTCTCTGGTTTCAGTTAATGCACGGTGTCATCAGACCCATTTGATCATTTACTTATCATGGGAGACGTGTTTCCAACAACTTGAACAAATGTCATCTGGACTTACAGAACAGAAAATGCTGGTCTGGGGAAGTGCCCCCATGGGGATGCCTGAGCTGCACATCAAGTTTGTCCTTCTCCACTTCTGCCTTAGCCAGATTAGTGGGGATGTGAGTCTGCACCATCGCGTTTTTATTGAGAGAGGGGAGGCGGAATGGGAGGCTGAATATGCACATCTCCCCATACAGCCTCTGCACATGGCTGCAACCTTTGAGAGTGTTACCTGAGGTTTTCTGAGCTGAACTCGGACTCCAGGAATCTCCGGAACTGGTCCCGCCCCACCTGGTCCTTCAATACCTCGTCGAAAGAGAAGCCCCATCTCTTGACTCGCTGCTGGCTGGGTTCTTTGCTTTTGAGGGAGAACGAAGGTTTAAGAAAATGATCAATGCTAGGCAAAAACTGGTGTCCTATTCCCTCTACCAACTCAAATCTATTTTGCTGCCACACGCCGAAGGGCAATGTCTCAAAAGGGCAAAAACTGGTGTCCTATTCCCTCCACCAACTCAAATCTATTTTGCTGCCACACGCCGAAGGGCAATGTCTCAAATGATAGATTTGGTAAAACCTACACAAACTCCAGATGCAGACTCGGCACAACCTCAGCCAACAGTAAAATGTCTCTTTAGAGAAGGCATTTCAAAGGGGCAATGTCTAGGTGAAGGTCACCAGGAGACCCGCCAAATGGCTGCCGTCTACAGGAAATGCAACAACCCCATTTATTTGGCTTCCGTGGACTCTGCCTGTCCGTTAATAGCCCAACTCTCAACTCTACCACTTCTCGTCTTATTTAGATCCAAGTGACATACGAGTGGTCAGAAATGCATCAGCTCATCCAGGATGAACCCTATCACTTGCTTAGAGGCAGAATGTTGTGTCCATTGAACAACCAACCACCTGATCAGCGTTTCCGATGCTCTGGGCATTGTTCCGAGCATCTTAACGCTGCTGACTCACTGGGTCTTCACAACTGTTCTGTAAAAAATGTACTAGTATTGGCCCCATTTTACAGATAGGGAAACTGAGGCCTAGTGATCATTTGCCCAGAGACACACTAGGAAGTGATGGAGTCAAGACGCATCGAGACAAATGTGGCTCCAGAGTGCAGTCCTTAACCTGGCTGTGCTGTCCCACACCCATGTGACCCTCCTCAGACCAAAGCAGGGGTTGGTCTTATTCTTCTACTGTGGGAAGATGAGACTAGTTCCTTCAGCTCTGTCTTTCCAATTGCAGTTCACTTGTGTATCTATTTGCCTGACCCTTCAAGTAGCAACAGGGTCCTAGGTCGCAAGCCACACGCCATAACCGCCATATGCAAGGAGTGGTCTGGGGACCAGTGGTGGACTCTTAGGCTCCATGTCAGACGGGGAATCAGAATCCACAGCACAATGAGATCCCTGGGTGAGTTAAGTGCTCCTTAAACTTTGAGGAGCATGGGTCTGGCAATACTTACTTTCCCTCTTTTTAAAAAACTGACACATATTTCTTATTATCTCTAATGGCATTAAGTGAATAAAATCATGCAGTTGATATATTCTCAATATTTATCTTAGAAAATTACACTCAGTGAAAAGGGGGAAGAGGGCGTATATGTTCAAAGGTTTGGAAAAACAAAGAGCTCCAGCCGAGTGTTGCCCAATAGAACTTTCTGCTATGATAGGAGTATTCTGTATCTGTTCCCTCTATATGGAAGCCTCTAGACCCGTGTAGCTCTTGAGCACTTGAAATATGGCTAGTGTGACTGAGGAACTGATTTTCCAAATTTTATTTCATTTTAAATCATGAAAGTTGGGGTGCCTGGGTGGCTCAGTCGTTAAGCATCTGCCTTTGGCTCAGGTCATGATCCTAGGGTCCTGGGATCGAGCCCAGCCCTGGGCTCCCTGCTCGGCAGGAAGCCTGCTTCTCCCTCCCCCTCTCCCTCTCCCCCTGCTTGTGTTCCCTCTCTTGCTGTGTCTCTCTCTGTCAAAAAATAAATAAAAAATCTTAAAAAAATAAATAAATCATGAAAGTTGACGTTGAGGTGGCCCCATGTAGCTCTAGCTGCTGTATTGGAAGGCACAGCTCTGGATTTAAGCGATTCAAACACAGCCCTTCTATTTCTGCACTGCAAGGCATAACCAGCAGCAGCAGCAGCAGCAGCAGCAGCGGGATCTTCTAATTCTGAGATTGTGTGCTTGGGGCTTGGGAGGATCTTGCGCATAACTCGGCACCTCTTAGCCCAGCAGGGTCACCGTGGAAGACCAAGCCCATCAGGTCAAACCTGGGGACTTCCATGAAAGATCTCTCCCAAAGTTCCAGGCTGGGCCTTTACAACAAGACAGAAAGACAGATCCTGGATTCTCTCAAATGCAAGCCACAGCACCCATCACATTTGATAGCTTTCCAGGGGACGGAAAGTGTTGTGTATGGAGAAGTCCTCCTGGGGTTGAGGATAGCAGCAAATGTAAGTCCCAGAGAATGGCAGGATCTTTCTGCCAGGGTCATGCTGTGGCCTGGAATGGGCTCGATGGTTTGCTCTTTGCCAATCAAGCAGGGAGGGCTCTGCATGGATGGTGCTGGGAGCAGGTGCATTCCGCTCGAAAGCTGTGTTCCTCGAGCCAGGTGTGGGAAGTCGCTTTACTTTTGCAGGAACTGCCTCATGGATGCACACCCACCACTAGCACCACCACTTTCTGCTACTCAGCGGTGGGTCCACATTCATCCTACCAGCTTACCTGGTGATGTCATGGCGGGGAGGGGGGAAGAAAGGTCATTTTGGGGGCAGGCCAGAAAGCTTGGGTATCATGTAAGCTGCAGAATCAGAGGCATAGGACAGAGATCAGGACATGCAGAAAGCTGCAAGGTCAGCCTTCAGCAGAAATAAGGTGGTTCTGAACAGACAGGACACCCAGATGTAGTGGTTCTTAGGGTGGCCATAATAAAGTACCAACTAACTGGGTGGCTTAAAATAGCAGAAATCTATCTCATAATTCTGGAGGCTAGAAGTTTACAATCAAGGTGTTGGCAGGGCCATGCTCTCTCTGAAAGCTCTAGAAGAGAATTTGTTCCATGCCTTTCTCTTAGTTTCTGATGTTGCCAGCAATCCTTGGTGACTGTTGGCCTGCAATGCATCACTCCAATTACCTGCCTCCGTCTTCACATGGTGCTCCCCCTGTGTGTCTATCTTCACGTGGTATGCACTCTGCATGTGCCTGCGGCTGTTGTCTTTATAAAGATACCAGTCGTACCAGGTTAGGAGCCCGCCTGCTCCGGTTTGACCTCATTTTAACTGACTGCCTCTGAAACAGTCTTATTTCCAAAGAAAATCATATTCGGAGGTTCTGGGAAGGGTGTGAATTTTTGGGTGACACTATTCAACCTGGTACATCTGGGTCCCCTCAACTATCCATTAGTCACAATCCTATTTCTACACGTGGATGCTCCATATCTGTTCCCTTTTTCCTAGTACATTTGGCCATTGGGATCTATTCTATTAAGGGCTCCTTGGACATAACTTCTCTAGACGTGTGTTTCCTGCATCACTTGGGTATCTCAAGCATCATTCTCTTTAAGGTTCAAGATCAGATTTGAACATGTTGTTACCATCGAATGGTCTGTGTGGTTATAAAATAATTCTGAAAATTAAAACATCTCTGAAATTCATCACCAGGTGACTGGTACAATAACTTCACCGTGGCCTAACTGAAACAAATAACTCATGGAACTCATAGCCCCTTTGTTTTCAACCATTGCATAGAAATGCTTCCATATGACTATGTTTGCTTACAGTTTGCACTATTGTTTAGCCTTTCAAGGGTATGTCACTGTCTCTCCAGCTATCTTGTCAGCTCTTTGAGGGCAGAGACCATGTCTCATGCATCTTTGTATTTACCTTAGCGTTTTCACACAGCAAGTGTTCAACACTAAGAGGAAATCAATAAGAAAATGTGTATAGTGATGGGGTGATATGTCCTTACCCTGACAGGACTTTCTAATTGCTAGCTGGATGCCTTTTCTTTACTCTAATTTGTCTTCTGTGTCCACTGATTCTTACCAAATTCCTACATCCTACTGGGCAGCCCAAACCAACAAGAGCATAGACAGGTGGCTCTCCAAGGGAGTCCATCTTTCATTCCAGCTGATCTCCCAGCCTAAGAGCATGGAAGAAATCTCCCACATTGAGAATAAGAAAGACAGATTCAGAGGAAGCAGCCATCTATAAAACATTCATTTCTGCAGGGCCAGTATAGTGGTAGGCATGGTGCAAGGGGCTTTCCTTACAGTGGTCCCTTTGAATCTCAATATAAGCCAGCAAGGTGGAGATTTGTACTCAGACATCCAGAGCTCAAGACAGGTCAGATTGCCCAAAGCCACACAACTGGTAAAAGGCAGACTGGAATTGGTACCTGGGTGTGTCTGTCTCTAAAGCCTTTTCTTTTTTTCCCATGACCTTGTCTTCCACTACATTTCCCACATTTGATGCCCAAACTAAGATTTGGAGAAAGACATAATTCATCTTGAAAAGACTTTTGAGGGGCGCCTGGGCGGCTCAGTCGGTTAAGTGGCTGCCTTCGGCTCAGGTCATGATCCCGGGGTCCTGGGATTGAGCCCCGCATCGGGCTCCCTGCTCAGCAGAGAGTCTGCTTCTCCCTCCCCCTCTGCCTGCCGTTCTGCCTACTTGTGTGCTCTCTCTATCTCTCTGTCAAATAAATAAATAAAATCTTAAAAAAAAAGAAAAGAAAAGACTTTTGAGTCTTTAGAAAAATTATGAGACAAGGGACAATTCCTTAAACAGGAAATATCCAAAGATGCCATTTTAGGGTCAAGGCTATTAAAGGAACGATGGCAATTTTATTTGATGCCCCAAGAACAGCCTGAGGGTCCTGCCTACTCCGATGGGGAGTGGTCCGGGTATGTATTGCTGTGTAACAAATCATCCCCAAACTTTGGCTTAAAATGGTGATTTATTATTCTCTGTCACTGTCCCCTGGGTTGACTGGACTCAGCTGGGTGGCTCTCATGTGGGGTCTCAAGTAGTTGTAGCCAGAAGCTGGGGGTGCGATCACCGGAAAGCTCAACTGGGCTGCACACCAAAGATGGCTCATCACATGGCAGTTGATCCTGGTTGTTTGCCAGGAGCTCAGCTGGGGCTGTTGATGACATGGCCTCATCAATGGCCTGGGATTCTCCGAGCATGGTCAGTGGGTTCCAAGATGGAATATTTCAGGAGCAAATGTTTTTAAATGACTGAGGTAGAAGACACAGAGCTGCTTTATGACCTGTTCTCAGAATGTTAGTTCCGCCACACTCTATGGGTCAAATTAGGTACCACAGCCAGCCCAGGTGAAAAGGTAGGGAGGTGCCCCCTCCTGA